ATTAGAAATTACTGAAAATAAAAAACACTACTATGCCACTACATAAATTATTCACAATCCCAAAATGTTGATAGTTTAGGCTTAAAATATAAAGTAGAAACAAAAAAAGTATAAAGAGGCCGACATTACTGATAAGACAAGATCTCTACAAGAAATTAGAGAAGCAAGACTAAACCTCTTCAGATGGGAGAATAAATCCCCTAAAGGGTCTGTGATAAATATTTATCACAACTTGGGTATTTTTAAAAATCTATTATAACACAAATGATTGCAGGAGTAATCACTAAGTTCCCAAAGAGCAAAACTATATAGCATAACAAATTTAAAATCAGAATTATTCATTGGCTGGTGTGAAGCACAATGGTTTTGAACATGCAACCAATTCCAGAGGTTCTTAAACAAAGACTTGTAGAAATTACAAGCCTGTAGAACTGCAAAGATCATATTTTATCTGCCCTATGCCATAGATGTGCTACTAGCCAGAACTGCAAGCAGGGTAATAAATGAGACCTTTGATTTGATATGGTCTTATTTTTAGACTCCCTAAATCCAACAAATAATAATACTGGCTCTGAAGTTCATTCACATATATATACATTATACATATATATAAAATTTGTATTAATGGTTTTGTAATTTTCTTCCAGGACAATCAAGCAAACATTAAACTATTAAAAATTCTACTCTGCTTCTTGTCTTAGCCAACAAATGCTTTCTCTCACCCTCTTAGTAGGTTACAAGATTTGCCTGCCCCAGCCTGTTTTCTGTTTTAAAAGTTATTAAAATATTAATTTGCTATTCTGTCAGTACAAAGACACACTCCATACTTTCATCCAGATAAAGGACTGCCAACTTCCAGGTTGCTGCTGGAGTACTGCAGCAGCCAAAATTATGCTGGAGTAAAATAATATTTAAGCATAAGTGGATCAAAATGTGTAACTTTTTTTGCATTTCTCAGTGATCTGACAGTGTTGGAGCAGAAGAAGTGACTGTATTTGTTCCTGTGCTCCGCCAAAGGGAATTGCAAATTGGAAAATCACGGTCAGCAAAACTTTCTCAGGGTGGTCCCCAATTTGTTAACAAGTACAAAATCATTAGTTTCCTCAATGCCAAAGTGGGAGCTCTTGGAATTACACAATATGTGTTTGCCAGTGCACAACCAGCGTGGTTGTTCCATTCTGGATGTGAATCCTCCCTCTAGAATTCCTTGAGGTGCAACAAGGGCACAGCACTGCTGCTGCAAGGACAGTCACTGGGGCTTTGCCACTGCTTTATTTTCCTTTCTCTTTTCCTCTTTTCTTTTCTCTTTTCTTTTCTTTCTTTTCTTTTCCTCTTCACTTCTCCTTTTTTCTCTTTTCTTTTCTTTTCCTCTTCACTTCTCCTTTTTTCTCTTTTCTTTTCTTTTCCTC